ACAATGAGTTTCGTAGTACGGTAATAAAAATTGTAGACATGCGATGCAGCTTTTAGGACGTTTTACAAGGCCTCGAAGAAGTGATTAGTAGGATAAGCCATGAATATGGAGCAGAAATTGCCAAATAAGAACGATTTGGAAACGCAGGGCGATCAGCCGGCAAATAATGGCCCATAAATGGAATCTGAAGTAAGCGGTAGGTAATCGCGTCGGCGCACCGAATCCTTACGTCTTTGCACTCGATCGAAGGTCATCTATATATCCAGAAATGAATATAACAACGAAGATGGACATTGTTTTTCCTCACAATTGCCGGCGCGGACCCGTCGCAGATTCGCGCCCCGGAATCGATAAATGGTTTTGACTAATTAGTCAGGGAAAATTCAAGCAACTGTTTATTGTTACTGTAAGCGTGCAGTTTAGATAATCGAACAGGGGGAATTTACGTCCAATATTCGCCCACATTTCTAAACGTTGGTATGAAGTGTAGAACTGTTTAGTACAGTGTTGATTTTTTTTTGCAAAATATAGGTATAAAAGTTAGTAAATATAAACACCCCAAAATCGTTTGCAAAAGCGTTGCAACTACAATCAATAGAATCTCTAACTACCAGGATATTTTATATAGGTTACCCAGAAAGTCGGGTAAGGTTAACCAAAGATCCGGCCGTTACCGGCTGCTGTCCGATAGCCATCAAATTTGGCTAAATTTGCCCAAAAAGAGCTGAGAGCAGATTTCGAAAGAAAGGAAATAGTCCAGCCCTAATTGCGCTAAATTGAGGACAAGATATATCCCGCCATCTGCGGGTCCTCGCCAGTCGAGGTGGTGTACCAGCGAGAGGTCTAGCCAAATGGAAAAATTGCCAGATTCATGAAAGAGTTGAAAGAAGTTATTCTATGCGAGTAGGGAACCCGAAAAGTTCTAGGTGATTATCCTTTTTGGTCGCTGTATAAACAGGCCAAGCGGCGCTGCCGCACCTTCATTGGACACACAACTGTCCATATTTGGCCGTATTTTTCCAGGATTCATGGAGCATCTTTGCGCTTTTAGAGTAGGCTGTAAAGATAGCAGAATGTGGCCGATCGTTGCCGAACGATAAGATAAGAATTGTCTGTTTAAGGTAAACATCATAAGAAGAGCGCAATCGCGGTGGCGCTGGCGCTATGGGGCGGGTTGGACGCGACAAAGGTCAACAGCTGAATCGGCGGCGATGAGCAGAGATCGAATTGCGCAAAGATCTCGAGTGTACATCGAAAATCATTTCAAATATCGGGGACATCAATCGATCACATGAAAATCATCATTGGAATTGATGTCTGAAAATAGAACAAAATGATAATTTTTGCCTTCCATTTGGAAATACCAACCCTATTCAATGTGGAGGAAGTGAAGTAGGGTCAGCTTTAACGTTGATGGCTCTCAGCACTGAAAAGGACCCCATTTGCGTGTGCGGATGTTTTTTCTTTTCTAGAGTGATCTGGGTTAGCAGGTATTTTTTTGAGGGAGTGGAGCAACAATTTCGGCTTTTGGAGTTTCTGGCTGAGACCTACTGCAGGGTAAATTGGGAGATTTTGGTCCGCTGAGGTAGGATGAACAGAATGAAGGATACTGGTTATACGAAGAACCATTCCAGGAGCAGGGGAGGGGCGTTCTTACTGGCTTCAAAAGTCTGTCTCACCGCGATAGTTCGCCTGAGTTGGGATGTCGTGGGGTCAGAGGTTTGATTTTTTATGGGATGTGAATGTTCCCACATCACCACCAGAAAGTGTTGGTGAAAATAATCATGTCGACTTTCTGATTTTTTATGGTAATTTGGAGGCACCTTCCACGGTCTCTGGTCGTGTACGTTAGAGTTCATATATGAAACTGTAAATGCTGAAGGCCCAGTCACCTTCTTTTGGGCACTGTACGATCCTCCGACAGATAGAAGTTGACGCGGTGACGAGGGAGCAGACATCGATGAAACGAAAGAACAAAGAGCAGAGTGAAACGCAGACACCAACAGTTCACTACCGCATATCATTGCCTCAGCAAGTTTTTCGCTGTGTGGGGGTCCCAGACCCAAGTGCCCTTACCCCTGCGTGCGCGACAAGGTTTGAGCTAGTACATGGAGCAAATTTGTGCTCACGGACCGGTGTTACGGACCGGTCCAGCATGCAGGGGGGAGCGCTGGATTGGATAGCTTATTGTGGGGAGTTTGGAGGAAGATGAGTTGCCCCCGTTGCTCAGATGGACTTCACCGTAAGATACTTCAATTCCAGAGAGCCAGAAAATTACATCCTTTGCGCTATACATGGAATTTATGGTGCTTCGAAAAGTCATAATGTTGTGAATAGAAGAATCGATCCGTGGAAATATAGTGAGGCTACATCCGAGAAGTACTCGCCATGGCTGTGCCGAGTTACAGGCTTTTGCAGTTGTCCTTTGGCCATGTTTTTTCTGCATATTACTCACGAGCGTGCAGAATGCCGCAAAATAGATCTTATCGAACATGTCAAGAATGCAACATCTTTTCTTGATGTTGTTAAGAATAGAGTTGTCGAGGACTAAATTAACTTTCTTCCGTCATATCCAGGAGAACAGCCGTGAAAGCTGTTGAAGGTGTGAATGCAGATTGAGGACCCTTGATATATCCGATTCTCATTGAATATTTTGCCTGTTGATGGATGGGTTTCACTGGGATGAAATACTCTCAGGATCATTTTTTGCAGTAACTTTGAGGAAGGCCAGAGTTCAGCGGACCACATGCCGAATAATTTATAGTCTTATAAAATCTATATGTGAAGAAGAAGCAGGAAGATGTTGTCCCAGGGGCAATTCCAACTTTGGTACGATTTCAAACGAACTCTGGCAACCCACGCGAACAGCTCTCGTAAATGAGGATATCCAATTCTTTGCCCGAGTGATCCTAAGCAACTAGCGTAGAAGTCGGAGGATCGAAGGTCTGGAGGATTTCAACATGTTTTCGCGTTGAGTTTTCGAGGCTTATATTTAAACCTAAACGTGCCAGTCACAATACGCAGCACTGCACTGGTAACTTCCCTACGGTCCGAGTGTTCCTCAATTAGCCCCACTGATCATACAAAAAGAACTTTAAAGCCATAACGGACGGCGTGCGTCCACATGGTGGCGCACGATTATTTTTTTGTTTTTGTTACGTTTCTAGCAATCTTAATATACCCGTATATACTCTCAGCAATGTGGAATAACATATCTTCCCAGGACCTGGACGACTGGATTTTTGACAAACCTACAATAAATTTTACATACATTTTGTCTTAATTTACATAAGTTTACTATTTGATGGGTGGCTTACCCATGGTTCGCACGTCCCGAGACCCCTTCCCCTAAATATAGCCCACATCCTTGCTCGGGGTTGTTGTTCCGCCGCATTTTTCCATGATTTCACCTGCAGCTTCCATTCATTCTTTGCACCAAATGTAGATTTAAGAGGGAGAGTTGTCGTCGAACAGAAATCTCGTTCTTTTGAATGATGACAAGTAACACTTAACACTGCTGTTCGCGATAAGCCCTACATAAATCGACGCTTGGGTGGCGGCGGTGCGCACCATGTGAGTCCATTACTCACGATCGGTGTGGAAGTCGAATACATCGGCGTAAGCTAAGACATTACAACGATCTAAGCATTCCTCCGTCTCCTAATTTCTCATTTCTTTCATGTTTCATTTCCTTCTTTCTATCGTGTCTTCCCTGCTCCTGCCCTTGCAGTTTATCTATTCTCGTCATGGATACGATTCAGAACTCAAGTCCGGAACAGGAGCCACTCGGGCCAAAGGCGAGTCTTCCATTCCCTAATCGTTTGGCTGTTCCGGCTTGGTCGGGGAGTAAAATACTGCTTGCACTTGACTGTCCCCACAAGTCGTCTTATAAAAGAAAATTGATTAACGTTTGCATGTCAGCGTGCAGGTACCGAATGCATGGCGGATCCAAAGTGCTTGGTTCACCGTAAATGCCTTTTACAAGATGTTACGATTAGACCTTGAAGTTTCATTCTCGGAGTTTTTTTTTTGTTTTCAATTGATTCATACATTAAACAACACCGTATAACACGTCAAAATCATTTTGAACTGAAATTTCTATTCCGATTTCGGCTAGTGTTTTTTTTATATTTTTTTGTTCACTTTATTCTAGACTAGTTTTATAATAGAACCTGCGGCTCCAACGTTTCATTGTAGCGCGCTTGTATGTAGAGCGCATTCAATAAATAAATAAATAAATAAATTTTGTATACGGTCGACGAGGCAAAAGGTTGCAGACTATAGCCTCATATCATATTGTTGTCATTTTCATTTCAAAAAGACAACCACCATTTAGGTGACCCCACTGCCCGAATGGTTTACAACCAAGACGCGATACAGACCAATCATTCCAAACATCTGAACAATATTTTATTTGTTTTACGTAAACAGTACATATTTTAGATGTGCCATTTATAAGCGCACATTCGTCAAGCAAACAGTGACTATAATATCTATCCAACCCGTATGGAAGAAGTTTGCTCGTAATATCAACCACCAGAGAACCACCTTTCTGTCACGAAGATCAAAACGGCAAAATAGAACATTCTTAAAGGCAATGATCACGATGGCTGGAGGGTGGTGCGATTTCGATGACGTCACTGGACGTAATTGGGGGAGGGCGTTAAGAGTGGTCCCAACCACATCCAGCGCTCTGAGTGGCCAAGTCCACCGATGGCGTTCAATGACGTCATCAGAGCCGCACCCCCGTTCAGCTATCGTGACCGCTCCCTTTAAGAATTACTCTGAGAATCAAAAAAGTTGCCAAAATCGACCTCTACTATATTTCCATAATAGAGCCCCAATGCAAAAAATCTTCGCCGCAAAATAATCAACTGATCTCCTGATGTTGATAAACGCTGGCTGAATATATCAGAACACCCTTCTTCCTTTGGCACAAAGTGTAAAAGTAAGCTCGAAATCGTGTGGAAACATAGAACAGAGCCATAACCGTTTTGCTACAAAACCACTTCAACCCCTCGCTGAACGATCTCCCAGTCCACCTTCTTGTAGGTGCCTTTCGCCTTGACAAATTTACCGTCTTCAAAACTAGCCAGGCACATACGATGAGATTTCGACAATGACGGCGTTCGAGCGACAGTCGTTCGACCAGGACTCGGATAACCAGTGGATACAACCGTCTGATCACTCACTATCTATAATGAATAACTCAATATAGATGGGTAAAACTTCGAATATGATTTCATTATTTTTATTCTGAGTGAAATGTTGTTTTTCTTTGCAATCATTATCAATGTTTTTCTTCTATTGTGAAGCTTCTTTTCCGCTAAAAATCACCTTATTATTATTAGTATTTTTCCGCCTTTAACCTTACCTATTGTGAGATTGTTTCTTTATTCAGACCTGTATTATTTCTTCTATTCTGTAGCAATAGTCATAAATAAATCACAAGGATTGAATGCTGACTATACATGTGTTCTTGTTATTGTTGTGCCATACAGGTTTTTTTATGGAATTTTTATTATGCCTGACGTTTCGACAATTTCGTCGTTCTCAAAGGCCTGAAAGCATATCGAAACGTCTTGCAATGTTGCCATCCCGCTCACAGCTAACCTTCTCCTACTGAACGTTACAATCCCCCATGCGACTACAATAGAGCAGGATTACGAACAACGGTTAACTCACGTTAATTCCACCAGGAAGGGCCGCTCAGCTTCGCGAAATAATGGAGAAAGTGAGACTGACCGGTTGTATACTGCTTGTTAAATGCGTACGTGCAGTACGTTGCGTTTCTCCAATCAGAGCTCACAAAGTGGAATGTATGGCAAGAAATCATCAGTTATGGAAATGCACTCATTTCTGTTATTCATACTCGGATTACGGCGCTTTATCCAAAAGGCCTCGAGGGTTTTCCTAGCACCGATATCACTTTCGTACGCCAGTATCGTGCATTTAACGTCAAAGTCACAACCAGAATGACTTTCCCTTCTATGTTTTCCAAGTGGTGCGACCAAACTTTCCCTTCGTTTACTAGCCAGATGTTCTTTATTTCGCGAAGCTGAGCGGCCCTTCCTGGTGGAATTAACGTGAGTTAACCGTTGTTCGTAATCCTGCTCTATTGTAGTCGCATGGGGGATTGTAACGTTCAGTAGGAGAAGGTTAGCTGTGAGCGGGATGGCAACATTGCAAGACGTTTCGATATGCTTTCAGGCCTTTGAGAACGACGAAATTGTCGAAACGTCAGGCATAATAAAAATTCCATCATAAAAAACCTGTATGGCACAACAATAACAAGAACACTTATGAAGAATGCCAAGGTTTCAAGAAAGACGGACATGGGGCTGACTATTTAGTTTTGTTAGGTTATGTTGTCCAGGGTAGCGGCACGTTCATGACTCCACGGTTGGGAGATCAGGGATTAGGCGAAAAGGTTTAGCAATTAAAGAGATTGCGACTGAAATAGATCCGTACGCAATTACCTCAATTTATCATGGTATTAATTAATTTTAATTGATTGAGAAAACCTAGGACCAAAAGGCAATTTTCAGTCAGATCGATCAATACAGTATCAAATCCTTTCAGGTCAATCCTCTCAATCTTTCAATATTGTGGTCCCCTATTGCAGTATTCGTTTGATCTCCTAGTTTCCGACTTTTAATCATCATCTAGACCTTTCAAAACTTCTGAACATACAATCGATACATATCTTCTTCATTAGCGCTCAATCTCCGAATTTTCGAATCGCGAAGTATGACGCCGGCGCCAATGAATGGCTAGGTGTAGCAGCACAAATATTTTTTCTATGCCTAGTAACATTCGTTATTAGGTTGGTGCAAAAGTTGAAAACTCTAGGATACATGTTTTGAAGTCCGACCAAACAACTTACTTCGTCAGTGAGCTCATCCTCATCTCCTAGGTTTCGATTTTACCGAGTTGAGCATGGCATTCAGTAGCATCGTCTGACTCGAAAAAATCTGAAAAACGGATAGCTAAGCATTCACGCGACTGAAGCTTGTTCTGAACAATTTCGTGGAGAAAAATGGGTCAGCATTACTGGGCAACCAAACACAAGAGTCAGCCTTGACTAGCAACTAAGAGGTCAGTTTCTCTCACTGCCTGTTAACCGCTCGTTTCAAGCAGGATGACCATGTTTGTGGTACGAATTTAAAAGACTATTTCATGGTTCTCTAATTGTGATAATCATGCTTGCAGTTAGAATGAAGTGGGAAGTGGATGAATCAAATCAAAAATACTCGAATTGAGAACCAACTTTTTGATGAATACTACGACACTGAGACAGTGGTGCCAAGAAGAGACAGAACTTGTTAGAGAGCAAGGGGACAAAGCGAGACGCAGACATCCCACCATGTAACTTGCCTTGCTAGCGCCTACATAGTTCGATGAAGAGTAACAAGGGCCTAGCGTAATCAGGCATATTTGAGCCGCGATAACGAGAAGCTTTCTATATTTAAGGGTAGCTCTATTCTACTCATACAATGGACTTATCTACCTAAAATTATCACGGAATGTGCCTTTAACCATTATCGGTTCAACTTACATGGAGGATGTTCATCTTCATAGTCGCCAAATTTTCCGCTTTTCCTACTAGAAAATCGTTACGCGATTTGATGTAATCGTCGTCAGGAAACGAGAGAAACAGGAGATGTTGATGACCCTTCTTGATTTCTTCCGGAGAACTGAAAAACATTAGATGTGAACATGTACTATACAGGAAGGAGAAATGGACCTATTGACATACTAGATAAGCTTTCTCCACGTGCAGTCCCGTATTCTCTGCACAAGTACCAAATCACGACGATTCGCATCAATGATGGATACGAATTCACTATTCACGCCGACAATTACCTGAAAAAAATCACAATTGCATCTACTCCATTTGAATACGTGCAAAATGATAAAGCATTGGCAAGACTGTGTGAATCCTTCGGATAAGCCATGCATTCGGTTTCCACGCAAAAATGTATACATTTTGAGGGTGCAGCACTTGAGCAAGGCTCAGAAAATGTTCAACACAGCGTGTAAACTCCCTCAAGCGAGCAAGGAAAATTTGACTTGAAATATGAAGTGTTTTATATCCTAGAAGGTCCGGTTAATAACCTGGGTGTGAAGGTGTTCGCTAGCAATACAACCCTTTCTGTACACCCAAATTTAGAGTGGTCGGTGGCGAGTAAGATCGCAAACTACGGCTGGCTCTCAAAAACTTCAAAAAACTACTTCTCAAGAATTTCGTTAAAACATGAAAAATCAAGAAAAATTAAATAGATCAGAAAGTTGAATCATCTAAAGAACCTAATTACTACTAGACGTTATCGTAATCCCCCTTCGAAAACATACTGCAAGCGTTTGCCAGCCTGAGACGCATTCACCTCTCCTCCCTAGGAGCCAAATACGCATCTCCTACGTGGTAGGAAAACCCTCGACGTTGGCTCACCCTGGCCAGCCAACTAATCAATGACTATTTTCATCGAACTCACTTCAGTGTCTGGAGCTCCACTGATCAAAAAGTTGAACACCTTTTTGAGGTTGAGTGGGTTGATCCCTGGTCGCTCAATCAATCCACGGAAGAATGCGGCTCTAAAAACAAAGTGACACCATCAACAACATCCTGAAGCTATTTTTAGAACTCCTGGCGTCATCGCAGGAAAAACAGTAGAGAAAATCACAAGGAAAAAGGACAAAGTTCTTACCCGTAGCACGGCGTCGATTCTCGAAGTTTCGGGGGTGTGTAGACAACCTCAAATGAGTGCTGTTAACGCGACTGTGGCGTATCAAGGCTCCATTCATTTTCAGGAAAACACGCTTGGCCTTACTCATACATTGAATTCAGATCGACACGATTTTCGAGTTCTACTTAAAAGAAGTTGAGTGTTTTTGAATTAGAACAGCAAATGACAGGGGGTAAGGGAAGAGTATTTGTTTCCCTCGAGTTTCCGTGGTTTTCTGTTGCGTGGAAACTGGACACCACACGTATGAAGAGTTGCAAAGCAAACATCTGCCTTAAAGACCAAAAGCAAGCCTACTTGTTCACTATGCGGGCATAATATAACTATCTTCTTCTGTAGAAACTGACAAGGACGAAGCATTCGGCGTGTAATCAATGCTCGTCTTTGATGGAATTCAACTACATAAATCGCAACTCAGAATCGTGCTCGCATCTTGACTGGATTGGCTTGCCCAGTAGCTTGGGAGGCACCATATTACTCAGAATCAGTGCTCTCGTTCTCGTATGTAACCTTGTGCCTAGGTGAATGGGCCCAAAAGAGAGGAGGCCTGTGCACTGAGCGGCGGAATTTTGATACGCTTAATCACCAAATTGTGTGCGCGGATAGCGCGCCGTTTGACACTACATCACCTCACTCATACACACGAAATAGGTGCATAATGCATAAGGCATTCCGCCGAAGTAGTTCTAACCACTTAAGCGACAAGAGTGTTACGATGCAAAGATGATGGACACCAGATATATATGGGCTTAAGTGCGCAGGGCTGGAAATGTGAAGCGACAAGTGTGAAGGAGAATAGTAGCCACTAGTCGCTGATTAACAGAATCTATCCGATAACAAATGGGGGCATTCTGCGGACTAGGCCTAAAGAGGCAAGAAACTTCGGGCGATAGATGACGAAATGCTCACGCACGGTGTATTGCCACAATCAACGAACCCTGTATCTTGCGATAGCTCCCGGCTGACGATGACCCTATGCGCAAGAGAAAATGCCGGCAATCTAGATAACGAGCTAAGCGACTTCTTTTCACAGGTAGAGATTACCTGCTTGAAAAAGTGATATGCTTGATCACAGGGGAGGGTGGCATTACGTGAGAAATGACAGTTTGCAATTCGCAGCCGGCAGTTCTCCAGTCTGAGCAGCAGCAGCGAAAAATTTCCGCCAAGTCATAACCACAATCTACCGACGCTGATTGGCGCCAAACATTAGCATTAGAGTTAAATTTCCCGATATTAAAGTGTATGAGTCAAAATAATCTACCTAGCGAGCGCCAGGGGTAAAACATGCGCATGGATCGAAATGGAGCTAATAAACTCTTTTTTAAAAAAATTCAAATCAATTCCTTTTCCTTTTATGCGACATAAATACCATTCGTGTGCAAAACAACAATTTGCTACTTTCACCCCGATTTCTATTCAATGAGCGTGTGGAGATCAGCTACGACCCAACAAAAGGCATATGGGATCATTGAAAGAGGTAACTGGAAGAAAACCTTTTCGGAGTCAACAATTTGTATAACTGCTTATCAGACTAGCGTTCACCTTTAAAGTTGAAATATTGAACTTACTTGAACCCGCTGAGAGCTTTTCCGAGCAATATCGGACCCCGAATCGCATCAGCCATTCGAGCAGGTAGTTGATCATCAATGTGTATTCTGATCCAATCAACATTGTGCGTCTTCTGCTCGAAAGCACCGTCCTCCATAGCAAATCCGAGTCCAGCAAGTTCAGCAGCCCTCTCTGGCGGCATTGGACAGCGGTCAAGGAATAGTGATGACCGAGCGTCCGTTAGCAACATTTCTAACGCACGTGAGCAAAACGTGACTATCTATAAAAATAAGATTTAGAAGTAATGAAAAGAAGACTCCTCAATAAATTGATGGATTATTATATACTGATAAAGAGCTCACTTGTTGTTCTCTTGTCTCAGATAATTGAACGTTTCTTCGGAAATAAAGCACCGGTTCGTCTTCTTTCTTCCGAACTTCCGACTCAGATGTTGCAAATTTAGACAGAACTTCCGTCCAACCACGTCGCATTTCATAGGGCTTGTGGTGGGGTTTCAGCTGTACTTCTGCAAGGGGAAGTAGTTACTAAGCTCAGTTGGTAAAATAGAGCAAAATGACCGCGTCAAAGAAACCCGTTGCCTTCGTGTCGAACGGATTTCTCGAAATGATCAATCAAAATTTCTACCGGAAATTTTCTCCCTCTACATGATTTCAACGCTGTTCAAATCTCTATGGTAACCTAGCTATGGTAACTTTCCACTGCATTTTTGTCCTCAAGATGACCGTGGCGCATTTGCTTTCACTACGTTAGCAGAGTAATGGATAGAAGGAGATGCTCACTCAATCACTTCACTATAAGGTACTTTTGCAGTGCAACAAAATTACCATTACCCAGCTGGTGACCATGGAGCAATAATGGATTTCCCCGCACTGCAAAATCAATCTACCCACATCCAAGCCTTGTGGCTGCCTCGCCCCGGTTCTCTATGGCTTTGGATGAGCAGAGGGAGAGGCTTCTAGAAAACGCCCAATTAGCCTTCGCCACTGGTACCCGTACTTTACCGACAGTCTCACTCATTAATCAAGACAATCTCATGGGGAGGGTTCAGCTAGAGAAACCCTTTTCAGTGAACAAAAGAACAATGTTTTTACGGTATCGCATTTATAGAAACTGCAGCTTGAAAGATCACTGAGCGGCCAACAAAACGCGCTTTATTTGCTCCAGCTTCAGAGAAAACGAAATACACAATAGTCGGCTCACACCGCTGATTCAACCATTGCAAACGTTTGAACTTCTGACTCCGTCGTTCGCGGGAATGATGAAATTCTCCAGGCGAACAAAAGAGCTCTCTTGAAGGGGAAAGCCCACAAACAAAGCGCCCAGGAGGCGTCCCAGAAACTGGGTGCCTTCCTTGGTGCCCAAGCCGCGAGATTCTCCTAAGTAACTGAGGAATAGCAAAGCAGATTTGCTCGAGCTTTTTTTGGGAAAAATTTGAGGTGAAAGGCGCTATATTTGATAGATAAAGTCACTTCCTTTATGGTAAATCTGCGTGATGATTTCCGTACAAACGCAATGAAAAGCCTCCTGAGATCTGATCAAGGGAGCACAAACCTAGAAGCCCTGAGATCATCCATAATGAAAACGCCTCCTTGCAATTGCTCTATCAATGCCATATTCTGCTCCCATTAGTTCCACAATGTATTCAGCAGTTGCGTTTCGTCCACCAGGTATATTGAATTGAATGCCGGCATCTGGAAACCGGTTTTTCGATCACTGCGAACGCCAACGAAAAACAAACGAAGGGACGATCGGCCGGCGAGGTCGAAGAAAACTTACAGTTGCTGTCATCACGATCAGGTGTATCCATACGAACAAATTGGGAGACATATACTCGCATCGATACCACATCATTCTTCTTCTTACGATAATCAGCTGATTGAGGAATATGACTGAAAAAAGATGCCATTTCGAACTAAAACAACTGAATAAAAACATGAAAAACTTACTGCAAAGTGTATCCAAGAGGAGAGATCGAAAGAGGAGGCGTTTTCTTGACATTAGCACTTAGTGGATCCGCAAAGGAGACTGCGGGTCTCTGAAAATAACAGATAGGGTTATTGCACTGCTCAAAAACGTGCCACATTCACCGGTGAAAGCGAATTACTCAAAGATATTACCTCTCCCACAGAAATCGTTGGTAACTTCACTTGACGGCTCTCACTAAGCTTTTTCCTCGCTGTAGGTACTTCCATGCCAGTTGCTGAACTTTCGACGATGACTGCAGCTTAAATGAAAAGTATCACCACAGGGAGAAGACAGGTGAAAGAATTTTTCTGACTGTAAAGGAGGGCAAACAGAAAGGAGAGCGGTGTTTGTCTGCCACCAACGGTGAGTCGCGTGACGCATTTCTGTTCTTATTTCAATCCTTGTTCTATTGTATAACTGCTAGACTCAGATTTACTGACTCGCCCTTTCAAATCGTATAAATTACAAAAGAATAGTGTGA